AATGACCTGACGGATATATTCTCCTCTCTTTCTACTAATACAGTAGCAGGTAGCTGCTGTAATTAGATATCCAAAAACTGTCATCAAAGCATGAATGAATACACCATTGTGTCCACAGTTAGTAATAAAGTGATGACCTACAGTACAAAGCAATGTATATAATACAATGGTACACTGTTTACCGTGTATCCTAGTAAAAATATGTGATCCACCATCAATCAAAAATGGAAGAATAAATTCTACATCTATAAAGAAATAATAATGACAACAGAAAAACATCTTTACCCATTTCGGCTCCTGTCTGACTCAATAGCAATGAGCTCCACCCCAAAATAACAACATTCATTGGTGCTTAGAACATTATTCATTGTGTGAAAAACAAACCAGCTTGGGTGTGTCCCTTTACTGAAAATGCTGTACATTATTGCAGTATCTGTCATCATTAGTCTTCAAACAGGAGCCACATACAGCAATGGTAAGTAACATTAATTATTAATTATTATCAGTTATTATTATCATCAACAGGTTGCCGTGAAGGCAGTGTTAGATTGGTAGGTCCTGATGTTAATGTCACTAGATATGGTAGACTAGAGATATGTTCATCTGGTCTGTGGCACAGTGTGTGTGCTGATGGTTCATTCTGTTCATTAACTGCTAAAGTGATCTGCAGGCAATTAGGACTCTCTATTACTGGTAAGCAAGTAGAGCCTTCATGGGTGAATAAGTAATGTAATACCTGAGGACTGAGATATCTGCTTGAGGTGAAGCTGAGGGCAGATATCAAGGGACTCAGGTATTACATTACTGATACTCACCTCCAGACACACACAGTGGTATATAAGCTATGTATATGTACAGGTGCTCAAGCTTATGGTCTGGCTCTATTTGGTGAAGGTAATGGCACAGTTGGATATCAGAATGTCTCTTGTACTGGGAATGAGCTCAACATTACACAGTGCAACTACACCACACCTTCAACCTGCAGTCATGAGTTTGATGGAGGAGTACTCTGCAATCCTCAGGCAATATGTCTTGATGTTGGTGGGTTCTCTTCTTGTTGTGATACCTACCACTGCTATATCTCATACCCGTACAACTGCTGGTGTGATGAACTCTGTCATTCAATGGGTGACTGCTGTCCTGGGGTGGAGTTTACCTGCCCTCATCCAAACTGTGAGGACCT